CAGAATCTACCCTTAAGCATTGTAATCGTCTTTACCGGACACCCCGTACATATATGTAAAATATATATTTATACATATACATATGTACATTAACCTTTACCTGTCGGCATTTTTTCATTAAAATAGTCATTCTTTTTTTCTCAAAAATTATTAGATGTCCAGTGATCAGATTAGATGCAGGGCCACCTTAACCAATGGGCTAATACGGGCTGCAGCCCTAGGGCGCAGCACCCAATGGGGCGCCGCCCGCCGGCCGAGTGATGCCAGATGAGAGATGAGAGTCACTTGTTTAGCACCAGCAGGCTCGTGCAGGCTTGTACTGGTAAGCTAGCGCACTACGCTCTCCCCGTAGTCCCTCACTTAATACTACCATATATGCACTCATTACGTATGATAACGAAATAATTTTATTTGATATACTATTTTTGAGTGGAAGGTTAAGGTATGTTATGTTCAAATTATACGAGTATGTAGTTATTATTTTATTATTGTTCTAATAAGTTCCTATTGTTGGATAAATATATATAAATTTATAGTATAATAAATTTTTATTGTATATAAATTTTTGCTAATAATTACTGTTTAAATTTTAAGATATCATTTATTTCTTTTATATATATAGAGTATTATATTATAAATATGAATTTGCAACGAAAAAAGAAGAGTGGTTATGAATATCGTAAATTAAAAGAGGAAAAGGAAATAAAGGAAGACACATTTATGGCAAAAGTTCCATCGTTAAAATGTTTTTTTCAAAAAAATGATAGTGAACCTAGTACGAGTGCTATTTCGAATCAGAAGGAGGAAGTCAAGGAAGTCGAAAACGAACAGAACGTGCAAAAGAAAATCAAAGAAAAAGAAATTCAAGAAGCTAGTCAGTGTGCCGAAAATGTTCATTTAGAAGACAACAAAAATGTAAACCAAAATACAATCGATTTTGATTATTATAATGATCCTGCGAAATGGAATGATTTAAATGATACTAAAATTTCGCAAATAATAATGAATGTTAACAAATCGGAAATTGATATTGACAAACTAGACTTTACTGCATCAAAAATTTCTTATAAATCTCAAAATAGATTCGCAAATTCCGCAATGTTTTACCGAATTCTGTTAAATGGTAAAAAACAAAAACGAAATTGGTTATTATACTCTAACTCAACTGGAAAATTGTTTTGTATTCCTTGTAAATTATTCGGTAAAATATCTGGTAACTTCAGTGTAGGATTTAATGATTGGAAACATGCAGAACAAATCACTGTACATGAAAATTCCACCCTTCATAAAGAAAGTACCCGAATATATGTAAATCGGTTAAATAGCAAACAAGAATACTTTCAAAATTATTCTTTAATAGAGATGACAAAAAATATTAATTACTGGAAAAATATATTACTTAGGATAATCGAAGTCATAAAATTTGTAAGTTCGAGGGGATTAGCTTTTCGAGGGAAGAATCAAATTGTTGGGAATAAAAGTAATGGAAATTATTTAGGTTGTATTGAACTATTGGCAAAATTCGATCCGTTGTTACAAAAACATTTATGCGATTTTGCAAATAAAGGTATTGGAAATGTTTCATACTTGTCGGCAAATATTTGTGACGAATTTATTAGTATTTTAGGAGATAATGTCAAGAATTGTATTGTTTCCGAATTAAAAGAAGCAAAATACTTTTCATTAATAATTGATTCAACACCTGACATTTCACATTCTGACCAGTTGACTATTGTGATTAGATATGTTAATACTGCCGGAACAGCAGTAGAAAGATTTTTATATTTTGTTGAAAATGTTGGCCATAAAAATGAAGAAATGGAAAATTGCATTATGGAAAATCTAATAAATTTAAATCTTAATTTAGAAGATTGTAGAGGACAATCTTATGATAACGCTTCTAATATGTCAGGTGTTTATAATGGTCTTCAAGCTCGTATAAAATTAAAAAATAATCTTGCCATGTATGTGCCATGCGCAGCACATTCATTAAATTTAATTGGAGAATCAGCAGCGGAATGTTGTTTAGAAGCCACGAAATTATTCATGTTCATTCAAAATTTATATAATTTCTTTGCTGCTTCAACAGGAAGATGGGAAATATTGAAAAGTCATTTATCGTTGAAATGTAAGGTACCCAAAACTTTAAGCAATACACGTTGGTCAGCAAATGCCGAGGCTGTTAATGCAGTAGCTACAGGATATAGATATTTTAAAAATGCTCTAAAAGACATATCTGACAATTCTACACAAAAACCTTGTGCCAAACTGGAAGCAAAGAACTTGGAAAAGCAACTAAATTTATTGGAGACTGCTTTGATGATCATATTTTGGAATGATATTTTACAAACTATGAATAAAATTAATACTTCCTTACAAAAAGTTGAAATAGATATTGAAACTGTAGTTTCTTTATATAGTTCATTAGAAGAATATATACAGGAGAAGCGCAATGTAAATAGCTTTAAATATTTACAGGAGAAGCGCAATGTAAATAGCTTTACATATTATAATATAAAATCAAAGCAGTTGAATTATCTGGATGTGATGAATACAAAATAACAAGAAACATTAAAAGAAAAAAACAGGTCGATGAGAATAAATCATCAGATACAACTTTTGACAAAGATGAAGATTTTCGAATTAACACCTACTATATTATTATTGATAAGCTCCAAATAGAAATTAGAAAAAGAAAACTCGCGTATGACAAAATCTTTTCGATATTTGGTGTTTTAATTAATTTAAAAAAATTAGATGATGATACGATAAGAAAAAGAGCTACTATTTTGTATAATACATATCCAGATTATTTGGAGGAAAATTTTATTGAAGAATGTTTGCATTTTAAGCATGTAAATATACTACCCGATGACAACGTTTCTTCGAAATCAGAGCTAAGTTTAAAAACCATAATCAATTCAAATATTGAATCTACATTCCCAAATGTAGCCACTGCATTACGAATATTTATTAGTATTGCTTGTACTAATTGTTCAGGAGAAAGGTCCTTTTCTGTATTGAAGAGAATAAAAAATTATCTTCGTTCTTCATTAGGACAATGCAAATTAAATAATTTAAGCATTTTAACGATAGAATCGGACATATTGGAATCTATAGATTTAAATAGTATAATTAATAAGTTTGCTGAAAAAAAATCTAGGAAAAAGTTTGTCCGTTAAGTTAACTATATTAATTATATAAGAATTAAGATTATCTTTAAAGTTATTGTATACATTTGTATTAAATTTCATTTAAAAATTAAATAATATAATTTAATAAAAGATATAAAACAAAGTATTATAAAGAATATTTTTATAAGTATCAACTCGATAAAAAATAATAATATCAGTATTCGGATATAGAAATAAAAATAAGATTTTTTTAAATTATGAAAAAGGCGCCTATTAGCCCAGGGCGCTTAAATGTATTAAGACGTCCCTGATTAGATGGAAAATGAATATCTTGCAAAAAAGTATAAAGAATGTTGTGATAATAACAATAAATCCGGCAGAGGTAAAATGGAATTTAAATGGTACGACCAATTAGATGAAATTTTTGGCAAAAATAAGAATGCTATTGTCGCCCATACCATATCGAGTAAAGTAACAGCAAAAAAAGGCCAAAAGGATATTACAAATTGTGCTTCTAAATCATCATCACCGGATGTGGTTATACATGATTCTACAAGTCCCAGTGTCTCTACTGCTACAATTTCAGATTCTACAAGTCCCAGTGCCTCTACTGCTACAATTTCAGTTACTTCGCCATTGATGAATAATAAAAATACAGCTCGTTCCCCGCATGGAACAGGGTCGAACTTAGCAAATAAAAAAGTACACCTTGAACAACAGTGGTTAAAATTTCTAGCAACCAAAGAAATAAGAGATACTGCACGTGATGAAAGACATATGAAATCTGAGGAAAGAGCGATTGAAAGTTTTACGCTGAAAAAACAAATGGTAGCTTTAAAAAGAAAACAGATAGAGCAAAAAAAAGAATTATCAATTAAAAGATTGAAAGACAAAGAAAATAGGCATACTGAAATAATAAAAATTGAGAAAACGAAATGCAAGTTATTGAAAAAATTATTAAATCAAGCAAATATAAATAACATCTCCGATGATTCTGACGAATAGTAAATGATTATTAATATGTTTCGGAAATAGTAATAATTGAAGACAGATTAGTTATTGTTTGTGAATAAGTATTTGAAAAATACCGAATAAAAATGTGTAATATTATACAAAAATAATGAAGTATATCCATGAATTCCGATATACGATCATTTATCTTCAATTATTACACAATAGTTGAACAACAAAATTGTGATTTATTATTGAACATGTTCTAAAAGCGTGAGCTAAGTTTTAGACAGCTAAGGTGAGATAAGTACTATAAGATTTGTTCTAAAGTATATCATTTACTAAAATATCTTTGTGCATTAGTTTTATATTTTTGTTTATTTTTCAAATTTTATAAAATTATTGTATATTTTGTTTGGGGTTCGGTCCACTCAGCGCTACAAATACTTTGAGGCATCAAATGGACCGTAGCCTTAGTTGCAATTAGAATGAGATTTATCATGAAGCATCAAAAGTTTGCAATATGAAGTTTTACATTTAAGTATAATTATTAAAAGATTACTTTTACGAAAGGAAAATGATGAAAATCATCTGTGATAACTCTAATAAGTAGTTGATTATTATTTATGACCAAGTACCTTCTTATAAATGCTTTTTTATTAAAGGACAGTATTCTATAATGTAGTGTTCAATCTAACATGTTTCTTACTCTGAATAAGATTATAATATCCATAATACTGCAATAAATAAGACTATTGTATCTATTGCAGTAAAATTACTATTATTGTACTCTATTGTAAATACAGTTTTTAAATAAAATATAATGTTCGTATTCAAACTGTGTCATGGTCAAATATTTTTATTGAAAACATATACATGATAATTAGTTATATACATACTATAATTTATTCCTGGTCGAATATTTCCCGGAATATTTGCATTCTTCGATCTACTTGAAGTTTGCAATTAATATTTTCATCAAGATCATCGTTCATATTAATATTGTCTAGTTCCTCAATTTCCACATTATCGTAATTGAAATTTTCATCGTTACAATCTAAACATAAATTATGTAAGATACATGCAGCTACAATTGTATTTGTAACAAACGGTAAGTCGCGATATTCTGAAAAAAATTTTATTCATCGAAAACGTCCTTTCAGAATGTATGAAATTAAATTCGGTTTCAAGAGGAGTAAGGTGACCGTTATCACGAAAAGGAGGAACAAGCCATTGTAATGATGGATATGCAGAATCCTCGATTATAAATTTTCCATTTGGAAAAATTACTTCTCTATCCTCATTAGCTGAATTGTATAATGGAGATTTTCTCAGGACTCGTGCGTCATGGAGAGAACCCGGCTGATCACAATATATGTACAAAAAAGTTCTGAGCTTTAGATTTCATACAACCGAAATAACAATTTAAATTTTATATATCTTCCCGCCCTTTTGCGGTTTTAAAGCGTTAACATTTGGCCTTCTAAAATGCCATACGGTTTGGCGTTTGATGCACATAATCTCAAAAATCAGTAGTGTTCACGATGGCAATAACAAAAGAGCATATTCGATTTTCCGTCCACTTGGCGTTTCATCTGAAGAAAAATGCTGCTGAAGCCACTGCAATGATTTGTGCTGCATATGGAGAGAACGCTGTAAGTCATGCTACATGTAAAAGATGGTATCAAAAGTTTTGCCAAGGAGATTTCAGTCTTAAAGATGAATCGCGTGCTGGACGCCCTGAAAAGATTGAAACGGACGAATTGCAAGCACTGCTGGATATAAACTCTGCGCAAACTGAAAAGGAGCTTGCAGAACAGCTTAGCTTACGCAGCAAGCCATTTGCGTACGATTACGTACGATGGGAAAGGTTCAAAAGGAAGGCAGATGGGTTCCGCATGAATTGTCCGAAGACAACAAAAATCGACGGCGTGACACTGCACTCACTTTGCTTTCAAAGTTCCGGAAAAAAGATTTTCTGCGCAAAATCGTTACAGGCGATGAAAAGTGGATTCTTTATGATAACCCTAAACGTAGAAAATCATGGGTTGATCCTGGTCAACCTTCGACATCGACTCCAAAGCCCAAGAAGGTTTTTGTGATCAAAAAGTAAGGTGACTTTTCATTTTTATAAAAAAATATTCATTTATTCATCCAAAATTATGTTATCCCCTTCAAAATAATCCCCCTCTGATACAATGCACTTGTGCCAGCGCTTTTTCCAGTCGTCAAAACACTTCTGAAATGCACTTTTGGGTATTGCCTTGAGCTCCTCCAGCGATGCAGCCTTAATCTCCTCAATCGTCGCAAATCTTCGTCCTTTCATGGGCCTTTTCAATTTTGGGAAGAGGAAAAA